TTACAAACTATATCGAGGTACCTCGGAACTACTCGAATCACCGGACGGCTTTAAATCGACGCTTAGACTGTGCTTTTTGGATTTACTACTACCAGGCGTTCCACGATCACGAGTGAAAAGTCTACTTCTTCTGTCCGAACTTTCGTTTTTATTCGGTTGTTCTGATTTCGGCGGAGATCCGGTAACGATACTTGGCGGGTCATTAGCTTCGTGATCGGTCCAATTCTCAGGATGAGAATCGCTGTCTGCCCTCCTCGAACTATCGTCACTTTGCCTGTCTACGCCGCGTTCTGTAACATAATCATGTCACTTTCTACTATTCTCATAATGTCATTATTATCGATTATTAACAATTTATTATGTTATATAATAGATAAGAGAAAGAAGGTGAAATATTTTTAGTCCATTTACGTAAACTACATCGCGATCATCGAGAAAAATATCTTGTAATATATTCGGTAACGGCGTGAGATGTACCTGAGAGAGTAATAACGTTTTCGCTAAGCAGGATCTATTTAATAAGATTACTTCTGCATATACTCATATATGTGTATACACGTATTACAAAATTCATACATATTCTAATGATTGTCTTAATTATTATCGCCTAGAAAATATGTATGTTGTTAACAGGAAAATTGTCAGGCTAACATGGTCGATTACTGAAAAGTAGTACAACACAAATTAAATGATTGATAGAAGTAGACAGAAGAATTGATAATATCAGAAATACATACGTACGTAAGTAGACAGATATAGAGGACCGATGGACACGATTGAATTATGTACGTAAGAACTACGTATAGGAGGGGGGGGGGGGGGGAGAGAGAGAGAGAGAGAGAGAGAGAGAGAGAGAGAGAGAAAAGATACTAAATACAACACAAGCAAGCCTGTTAGTTAAAGAAAAAAATAATTGTATATTTAGACGATAAATCTATATTTAGAGCAAGTAAAGAGAGAAAGAAAAAAGGAGACGCAATATTAAAGTCTCAGTGTTTAATTAAAGAAAGCACTTTTAATCAAAGAAAGCAGACAAAAGAAATGTTAATAATAAAACAGAAATTACTACAGAAGAATAGAATGCCACAAGCATTTATTCTTCTTACGCCGTACATAATGTTTAAGTAATATTTACGTAGTTTACCGTACAAATTTCTATGAATAATTGTCAAATTATAATATCTATTACAATAATTGATATAATAAATAACAAGCGATTTATAAAAACTATACTTTCGAAATTAAGAATTTTACTTAATACAGTTGATAATAAACCATGGAAAAGAAAATAAATTCATTGACATTCATTGATATTTATAGCGAAACAAGCTATAATTTTTAATTTCAATCTTTCAATGAGTTTTACATGATTATCAATGAATTTAATAGTCAGTATTTGAATAGATCATTTTAAAACAATAAACTACCTAATTATCAAATCCAAATCGTAATATTTATATTTGCCACTCAAGCGCTAGAGTTTCCTGTCCAACTTACAATATAGTATTTTGACCTATGTATTTCAATTTCAACACTTTCACATCTTTTCCTTAATTATATATGTTGAACATGGAAAACAAAAAAAAAACCAAAAAATAAAAAAAAAGAAAAAGAAAAGAAAAGACAAAAGAAATACTTAAAGAAATGTGTCTTCAAATAAGTAATCATTTCCTGAAGCTTATTTAAATCATTCCACAATTAGTTATTACATACTCGATATTAACGACGATACATTTATTCTTTCCCTCATGCTGAATTTATATACACGCATGCTATTCTTTTGAAAAGTAAAACATGAATGCGTCTGCATACGCATTACACGCACGTAAAATAGCAAACGCTCATATTATTATTGCATTTGTTATTTCGAATTTTCACGTTACATACCTGACGTTACATGTCCAATGTGCTGTTTCTCTTTGGCTGGTTGACTTCCAACGTAGTGCTGATTTACGGTACTCATTGCGTTGTTGTCAGCTTCCCCTCTTGTTACTACTACCGAATTGTAACATGCAACAGTGCAAAGCCAACCGACCAAATCTTGACTTAGTTAAAAAATCCAGATCCAGATATAGATGATCGATTTTATATCATAGTTTGTACAACATATTATATTTTGGAAGTCCACAAAATCAAATACATTCTCGGATCCTCGTAAGTAGATGTACGCAAGTGAAATCTCCAACGTCTACACGTACATATATTATACGATGATGTTTATATGACTTGCGTGCAATCTGATCTTCTGTAATAATTCAATGTGTAAAAATAAAAACTAAAGCGAAACGTTGAACAAATAATTTCTTCCAAAAATACGAATGTAAAAAAAAAAAAAAAAAGAAAAAAAAATAAACTATCTTTTCTGTGAGAGGATCTGTAGCATTATAATGATTTGTATTTAATAAATTATCATGCGGCGACAAGTTTTATATCGAAAGAAAAAAAAAAAAAAACAAATGATTTGCAAATGATAAAAATATAAGTTATAGACCTCCTGAAAAATCAAGCTAATACTAATATGTAGTTGTAATAGAAGCAGCAACAAATCCGTTCTCCGATAGATATTTACGTGTAATGTGTATGTATATATATGTGTATGTATATATTGTACTACATCGCTTATTTGAAACTCCGAATCGAATATAAAATTCAATCGAACATGAAATATATAAAATAGATAAAACTGAGCTGCTTCTACTCTCGATATTTTTAACAAGTGTATAAGCAGCGATATAAGCTAAGAGACAAAGAAAGAGATATATTGTTTGTGAAAAATAAATGAAATGAGAATATTTCTTGAGAGAAAACAAATTCATATCCGTAAGACGCTCTTGATCTTGGTTTTGTTTATAAAAACTTGATCGATAATAATACATTCACAAACGTTATAAAAATATATTTTCTTTAATGTTGCATTTTCTTTGACAATTAATTTTATATTGAATATTTGTCGATAATTATAATGAGAAATGTCACTTCTCGTACAAAATGTTAATGTCTTCGAGGATTACATATTGGAAACTATTATCTTAGTTCGCATATTCGATAGATGGAATGATTCGCAAGAAAAGCACTTTTCGTAAAATAAAAGGAATTTGCAATTTGAAGCATTAACAAATAACATAGGTTTTAGATAGAGCACTTGATGATCCTTACCGTTTTAGTCGTATTGGATATTAGAGAGGTATGCCAATATTGGAATATTGGAATTTCATAATATTAAAACGCGCCAATGAAAGATACTTTTTCGCGATATCGTGACAACAACCAAAGTACATATCAAGAATGTAACGATTCTTTTCTAATACGCGTTTTCTACTGGCTGACGAGAAATCAAAAGAATTAAGAGCGGAATGAAGTAAAAGATAATGGGAGAGATGGAGGGAAGAGGACAATGGGACGTAGTATAGAAAGAAAAGGGAACAAAGGAAAAGGGAAAAAAAGAAAATTAAAGACGTCGAGAGTCTTACCTGAATGTGGAGGTGTTAAAAGAGATCGACTGGAACTGAAAAAAGGCCGTAGCGAAGGCTTTGGTGTACTACTGACGGACATGGTATCCAATTCTGGACCACTGTCCGATAAATCTTCGAGTTCGTCGAATAGCTCTTCGATCTCCATATCACCGCCTGAGAATAGTAATTAACGCGATACGATTACGTAGAAATCTAGTACATACAGATTCGATTTATCTCGGTCCCAGCTTAGGATTGGCCGAATATAAAGGCCGAAGGAAGCATTATCATCGTGTATTCATATACCTGAAAGCTTTTGTCCGATTTCTTCTTGATCATGATCCAAATCTTCGGACACTCTGAACCTCTTCAAAAGGGCTATAAACTTTTGCTTGAGATTTCTTTGCTGTAAAATACACGGGACAGCATAATTTAGAATCTTGCGGTTGTTTTTCAAAATTCAAGATGGATGAATGTGTAGATAAAGAGAGAGAGAGAGAGAGAGAGAGAGAGAGAGAGAGAGAGAGAGAGAAAGAGAGGCGGGGGAGGGGGAGGAGGAGGAGGAGAGAGAAAATTTCGATCGAAGAAAGAGAAGAGAAGTTTTACGCACTCTGGCATTGGTGGGAATCTTTCCCCGATTTTTTCGTCTATGTACCTCCAGGGTTGGCTCGCTATCGCTACCCTCCGCTTCAGCCTCCGAACTGAATTCTTCTTCTTCGTCGCTATATTCTTGACACAATCTCTCATTAGGGTCATTGATAAGTCTTTTGTCATGATCGACCGGTTGAGAGCTCAGTGCTACGACGCTAACGCGTGCCAAAGCGACCGAATGTCCACCGTATTTTTCCGCTTTGTCGGATATCAATTCTAATTCGAGATCCATTTGCTTCTGTAACACCTACGAATGATATTTGAAAATAGTAACGAGAGGAAAGTTCATTCATTTACGCACAATGATCACATATAACGTAAATAATTTTCCGTCTTTGTAATTATAATAGTTTAATCAACTTACCTGAGCCATATTGATTACTCCTTCGGCGAGAGTTTTATATCCAAGCATCGTACGATTCTTATAACGTTTTCTTCTTTGCAATAATATTAAGAGCTTATTGCCATCTCGCTTGAGAAAGTGTGGATATTGGAGCGCAAATTGTAATTCTAACTCCGTGTCTAACATACCACCGGTTGGTATGATCATTTCGTTAGAACGCAGTGTTCTCTTGGAGCTTTGCATCTTTACAGCGATTATGATGGATGTTAGATCGGAACCCAAAGGTCGAAGTATAACCAGACGCGTCAATGTCAAGGAACATAATCTGCAATCCATATATATATATATTTATATATATACGTATATGTGTGTGTGTGTGTGTGTGTAATGACATTCACACCAGATCCGCGACAATTGGCACGATAAATATTTTCACATATCTAAGTACGTACGCGCGCGTTATTAATTTTATATATATATATATATATATATATATATATATATATATATATATATATAAAATTTAGTCCGACTAATTGTAAGAAAATACTTGAGAATATTACATATATCGCGATTATGTTCATTAGGCATCGTACATGGCGTCTATTTTTACTCACGGAAAGCTTATACCGATTCGAAGGCTAACATCGTACGACGTACTTATGCGATACTTATAGATGTACTCGAAACTACAACTACAGTCAAAACTATAACGACAAGTGGCGTCTAAGCCAAGTATGTCCACATAGTAGGAGTATAGGTTGTTTCGACAAATGTTGTACAAATGACTCGTATAAATGTACAAAATGTCGCGAATGTTATCCGTAGTAATGGATAAATTAGAAACACAGAGTCGCGTTAAATAGAAATATCTCAACGTGATGAAATAAAAAGCTATATAGGTAGGATAAGGTAAAGAAAAGGACCCGTTTGCCATTGACGAATTATTCTTTTCCGACCTCTGCTCATAATTTATACCGCTTAGACTGCTTAATATACCCTCATAGGTATATCTATATCTATGTATGTAAATCAACGTACGTCTGTACGTTTGTATTTACGTATCTATACAAGTATGTAAGTGAAAAATATCATATACATAGCATACATCCGAAGAATCAAAACGAGTCGTCTTCTTATGTCGTTTACGTCTCATTGCATTATGACTGTAGAGAGAGAGAGAGAGAGAGAGAGAGAGAGAGAGAGAGAGAGAATATATAGGTATATTATAAAAAGTGAAAAAAATAAGGAGAAAAAATGTGTTAGTCACTCGACTGGTGCTTTTTAAAGGTGGAAAGTGACGTTCCCTTTTTAATGTGAGCTCGATGCTCATAGGGTAGAAAGTACTTAAAGAGCTCGAAACGTCGTATCATGTTGAAAAGCAACAATCTCGGAATACGTAGATAGACACATTTCCACGTTACACATGTTCGTACATATACGTTGTCACTATCAATGAGTATTTTCCAAATTACACGAATAATATTGGCCTTCTTTTTTCTTTCTTTCTTTATATATCTATTTCAATGAAGAATAGATCGATTTCTGTTCCAGTGACCGGAGTAGAGTTCGGACCGAAGCGTGTCAGAATGAGCTAGATCGAGGTATATACATACGATATCCAATATATAGATACGTAAAACATACGAACGTATTTTTCAACTCGTTCGAACGTATCTACACATAAAGATTGATCAAAAAGTTATCATTCGCACAGCCGAAAGAAACATTTATGCATTACGCCAATGCTCATATAGAGCTATACTAGGTATGTATATTATTATATTACTTCTTTTTTGCATTTGGTAAGAAAAATAAAAATGAACAAACGGTCGAAACCGCGTTAAGAAAGAATTTTATTATCTTTTTATAAGTTTATTCCCCTTCAACTATATCATATTGTTTACCGTCCAAAATATATCGTAGAAAGATGCAGTACGAATTTTCTTCTAGAACGAAAAGGAGGAGAAGTTGATAACGCGGGAGTAATATTGTATCTACGATTTAATGTTTTCTATATGCCATACGCGTGCAAGATATCATCTCCCCTTTATATATATATATGTATGTACAGTTGCTTGGTGTTAGATTCGTGATAACTTTACTCGTCCGGTCTCCAATAATATATACATGTACATTTATATATATATGTAAGAGTTCGACCATTACCCTCCTAAAGAGTATAAGACCGTTCGTTTGCATACTTGGGTATATTAAAATTTTGCAAAATATAGTATATTTCCTAACGCCATGTATCTAATGGTATATATAAAAATAAAAAAAAGAAACGGAATCAAATTATTTTTCAATCTTACTAATCGGACGCGCACGCGCACGCGCACGGACAAATCGGCACCCAACGAAATGACGAAACATTTACAAATTTCTAAATAAATATTAATCGAAGCAAAACGTGCATGGGAGCGTGCGTGTGTAATAGATAAAGCGAATCGCGTCACATGAAAAATAGGAAAATTTCATCGAATGATTGCATCGAGACGTTTGGATACACGCGGAGGATCTGACATGACAGCTAGCATCTTTCTGAGCGTGCCACACATGCCTACCATCTCCCCATTGTTATATGCGCTTTGCAATGCTATAATGCACGGTGTCATGAATTAATCGTAGAAATTATTGAAATAAATTATTGGAATATTTCTACGTCTTTGCAGAAACGTTGGAGCGGATCGAATAAAATTTCTTATTGTTTTTCGACATGGTTCGACTTATACATGTTTGCGGTAGAAAAGAAAAAAGAGGGAGGGAGAGAGAGAGAGAGAGAGAGAGAGTGAGAAAAGAAAAGAGCACCTTGCATTCGCACAACGACGCGGCGACTTTGGCAAAATATACGTACGTACGTACGTACGTACGTACGTACGTATTCCACGACCCGATGAAATAAAACGGAAAAGCGTACGTCTGATTTAATTACCTTGGAATACAATTTGGTGGCGTACGATCGACTTCCCAAGTGGCAAAGAGTTTCATTGGAACAGGTCGGGAGGTCGGGGCCGTCGCCTTCATCCTCTCCGCCATTTTTGGCCCGTTGGCCAACACGAGAGGAGAGCAATGATAGACACCGTCGCTAGACCGCAGCTTGCGGCTGACTAATTCAACCTATCTCGCTTGTGGCGCCATAAACTGTCAGATCGCGGCTACAAATTTCTCTCTTATAGACTAGGAACAGGCTAAACCAGAATAGACTTCTTCGTACGCAACGCCCTTTCTCACGATCTCCCAAGTCTGTCTTCCTACTCTGACCATCGATCGAACAAGATGATGAGGAGTCGACATCTATCGACGTTTCCGTCAACTTCGACGAAGGAAAGGTATACTTTAAAAGGTATAGACTAATCAAACTGAGAGAAGTGCAGTAAAATAAAGCGCGCGCGAGGCTTATAAAAGAGCACAATGGGGCATATTGCCGTAAGATCGTAAGGAATATTATATAGTACGTACAGTATCGTACAATACGTACGATATCCCGTGTACGTGGCAAATACGTTGCATCATAAACATTTAAAACACGTAACATTTCTAGGTCGATTAATCTAATTCGTCGTTATAAAAAGTTCGGTATAATAAATAGCAATGCAATATTATGTCCGTACAATTTTTATTAGAAAAATGTATAATCGATATATCATAATAAATATACATTTCATTTATTTCTTAAAGTGATAACTTTACATTCGTCGTTCTTTCTTTTTTATTTTTATTTTTCATTTATTTATATTAAATGATAAGACAGCCACCACATCAATAAGGGTTGAATAATCGCTACAAAAAATATAAAGTAAAGTCTTCTTCTATTGCCGTTGGCTGTGTACGAAATCTGACCCTGCGGAATAACTCTTAGCTTTAAAGATCTCATGAGAAAAAATGCTAATGTCGCACTAAAATATAACAATGCTGCATAATAGCCAAATTTTCTAAATGGCAATGAGCTTAACAATGCTGCATTTATACCAACATATTTATATCCGCAGTAGGCCAAAAGATCCAACGTGGCCAGGCTCGTTTCGATATTCATTATGTACAAACTGACAGTATGGACTATTAGTTCTATTATACCCCAGGCCAATACAGAACTAGCTAATATACTAAGTTGTTCAGGGTTGAAACGTTCTTGAGCACCTAAAACCAAGCCCGCTAATACTACGTAAGTTAAAAACGACATCATCGGGATATACATGTCTGGCGCATTCTTTTCGTAACGTGGTTGCATGGGCACATCCTGTTCGTACTTTACAGTCCAGTCCTGTTAACAGCATTATGTCGCATTTTAAATTAAACCGGATTTAAATGCGTTAAACGATTAATTATAAATAGTCTTTGTCTCTAGATCATCTTTTTAATCTTACTTTATGAGTGAACGGGAAGAACAAAATTGCTAGTTTTCCAAAGACGTAATTAGTATCCACGGCGAAGTAATACTTTAATGCTCTAACTGGCACATATTTTTCAAACTGTTGCCTTCCCGAGCCTACCAAAGCATTTCCGTATTGTACGGCCATATTGGTAACGACCGGCTGCGACAATATTTGAGCCGCAAACTGGGAACTGGAATAGCTCTCGGCATTGCCCTCGTTACGTACATATTGCTGCATCGACGACTGATTAAATCCGTGAGGGGACGACGGATCTTGTTCTTGGATATTGAAAATATATTCCGGTGATAAGCCGTTGTTTACAGGTACCTTGTGAAAGCGCAGAAAGATCAAAATTATTCTACGATATATGAAGACCATATCTCATATCTGGCATATGATTTACCTGCTGATTGTACATATACGTGTTTTGTACCGTTGGGATAGGGAGCGTTGATAGACCAGCCGACGGATCTAATAATCTCTTTGGCTTACCTGTTTGATAACATGTACTTTTCATAAACGAACAATGGTGCCTGATTTGCGGATATATAGCCTAACATAACCTCCATTGCTATGTAATTGTGTCTTACTTTAATTTTTCTTATTCAAAAGATGAATTAATCGAGAGGAAGGTAATTCGCGAAAAAGGAAATTCACGAGAATATACTCTCAACAATGTATAGTATATGTATTTGGGTAAGGGTAGAATTTATCTTTCGAATCGAACGATTGATATGATACTTATGATATGGTACTTACCACGGCGTGCACCTGATTGCTTGTAATTCATCTTTTATTTTATCGCCAAGCAAATTGTCACTTTTCTTAAATGTTAAAACGTTTAACGTTGAATACTCAGCTTTCTATTTTAGGTCCGCTTATTCGAATTATTCGTAATAGGTTGGAAGTCGAAAACACACGGGACACTACGATCGATCTACGTCATATTTCGACGTTCTCTAGTTCTACGGTCTCCCGCTACTCGACAGTCCTACCAACACAATTTTCGATCCTTCTTCTATCATCCATAAGGATACTACATGCAAGAATATTTATATTTATTAGATCGAAACGAAATTGCAAAGAAATATACGATGCCAATCGTATCTTCGTTTCTTCATTATATCATTATTTCATGTCGATTATTTTCAATGTGAATGAACTGTCACAAATGTAGACTACTTCGGTTGGTGGGGTCCCCTCTCGCAAAATATCGTTTTGTTTCGCATGGTGTTTAATAAAAATTTTTAATACGTGCGTATAGAGTATACAATACTAAATTGTATATGCCATATACAATTTAGTTATTAAATAAAATTATAATTACGGGTCTCAATCAGATTTATCATGTTAAAAGATAATATAATTCTTTTCCAAATGTGATGATATTTTAGAGCTTAAGTGATTATTAAAGTAAATGAAGACTACTCTCTTTTACCGATGAATTTTATAAGAGATTATAAGAGACAAAAAAAAACGTTTAAGAGGGGGCACCCGGGTTTGAACCGGGGACCTCTCGATCTGCAGTCGAATGCTCTACCACTGAGCTATACCCCCGCTCGTACGTTCAACGAACGTAAAACGTATATACTGTTCTTGTCTATGTATGCATACATTTTATATATATATATATATATATATATATATATATATGTATCAGACATACATACATGCACACACAGAAGGAAACTTTTATGAAAGACGACAGACGAATGGTAACATAGTAGATTTTTTGTAGGAAAAAGTATGCAGGTATGAATATAAAATCAAATTGCATTAGAAAAATTAATCGCGCCAAGACATATTTTTATTATACAAGCAAGCCTACTGTTGTTACGCTACTGTAGCGAAGAGTAACCAGGCAACCTCCTCTATATTACATAGTCGGTAGTCTAACAGAACGTCAGTATATACCGTACAGTAGTAAGGTGTGTTTCTCACTTTCGTGAAAAACAATCCGCGTGGTAGAATCTTATCGTTCATCTTCCATCTTAGGATTCAAATTTCGAATTCGCGCCCTTTTTCTAGTCACGATGAATTCGAAGGAGACGTTTTACGACATATTATAATATTCTTGAAGTAAGTTTTTAATTAATCCAAAATATTTCATACAAATATTTACGTTTATTATACGTTTTCGCCTTTATAATTAATAGCGAACGATCATTTATATTTATATTAATGATCAATACCTGGGAGGTAATAAAAGCTTAATGCGACGAGTAGCCAGCCAAGCTTTCAATTTATATCGTACTATTTAGTTATTACATATTAATATATAGACGCGTACCAATGTCACATCTGTAATATCTGTAATATCGAATATGTCACAAACAATGAGGACGGAATGTTGAAAATTATTTTGCAACCAAAATAATATAACGCACGTTATATCTCAGACGAACTATATGATATTACGATATTAGAAATTTTCTAACACGTGATTCAGAATCACGAATAGCGAAGGTCTCAACGAATTATTAACGGAGTAATAACGATTGACGTGTAGCAGAGTGAATCAACGAAATAACGATTTTCAGTCATCCACACGTTACGGCACGCGCGCACGTGGGACGCTTCTACATATGCGATACACATATGCATGCATGTACGTGTGTATGTATGTTGTGCGAATTTTTTCAAGTTACGTCCATTGGCAAAGAATAATTAAACCTTTCGCATTACCTCATCATTTTACCGATTGTAAGATAAAAATTATTTCATTGAGATGAGATTAATTTGACGCAAGTACATAAGTCCCATCGGTCCCATTTACTAAGTATATGGAACGAGAAGAAATAATTAATGGGATGAATCGTTAAACAATCTTCGAAGGAAATGTATACGATAGATTTTCTTGGATGAGATAATCTTTATCGATCCATCAATATTCTCGCGCACTTATACGTAACGCGCCGGAGTTATTACAATAGTTTATTACAATAGTATGATTCTATTTGAAAGATTGAAAATGTTGACGATACCGACATGCGATAGTATATTGTATATGCATTCACAAAATTATATGATCATTGCATTATCGTCGCGAAACAATTGATTACCGATATATAAAAGGATAATCATTAATGTGTCTAGAGCATATAAAATATGAAATAAGCTGATATAATAGAATTAAACACGTGGCGACCTTGCCGTGAGATTTTCCATTATGGTTCTTTATCGGTGTCAAATGTTGTGACGGTTGGTTTCTATGGTATCGAGTGACCTGGTCAGTCTACCACGTGGTCAGTAACCGAGCTTTAAATTTGGAACTGGACTGGATGTAACGATAGTGGTTCCTCGGTTAGCTTCTACGAAGCACATCATTAAAATGTGAACATCACTAGTTAGAAAGAACTAGTAGTTCAATCAATGTGATCGGGACTCTCATCTTGGTACGAAAGCTAATCATCCGTAAGCAAATCGACATTGGCTCATTTTATTCCCTCGGCATATCGTTGACAGGCGTGAGTTATCATTAACACTAACGAATTATTATACGTTAGTTTGATGTTAAATTATTCCGCTTGGACGATATACACGGACAAAAGTTTCTCTAATAATTAAAAAAAAAAAAAAAAAAAAAAAAAAAAAAAAAAAAAAAAAAAAAAAAAAAAAAAAAATAAGAAAAGTAATAAAGACAATGGTACGTAGACAGACACAACATCCTGACACAATCCAATAATTATATTTACGTACGTTTTGGATAGTTATATATAGACGTACGATTAACGATTCGATTATCGGCATTGTCTATATTCTTTTAAGAAAGGTTTTAAGAAAATTCATCGAACTACTTCTTTTAAGCGTCGACCCACATTCGTCGACGGACGTCGAGACCGGGCGGATTTTCTTCCGCACGATGAGTTCGATCCGTCTACAAGGCAGAAGATGTTCTTACGCGAGGTTGTATTAGTCGAGAAACGGTGTCAAAGACGGGCATGGACACTAAGACCCCGCCTATACCTTTGAAGCTTCCAGAGAAGGCTCAAACGAAGAAGCAGGAACGCCTGGCCGATCTGTCCTTGCCGCCATTGACACCTTCTACGAATCGCCGACAGAAACTAAAGCCTGTTGTTAATACGTGCTCGCGTGACTTCGTTTATCCTACATGCTATCAAAATCATCATAAGAAGAGACCTTACAGGTAAGGTCTTGGATGGGATCTATACATTCTTCTTTTTTCTTCTTTTTTTTTTCTCTCTCTCTCTTTATTCTCTATAAAGACAACACCAAGTACCTACGAGTAACTATTACCGGAATACCTACTTCCTAATGGAAATGAGAATCTTCATGATTTTAAATGGGACATGAATTTATTACAATTGAAATGGCTACTTTCGTAGAGTGTTGCAAATTGGCGCCACACCTTTGATGCACGCTTGCCAGCAGGCCGACAGACACAAAGTCTTGAGACTATTGAGGGAACAAGAGGAGAGCATCGGTTATAGAGATCGAACGTTAAGAAGTGCACTTCATTACTGTATGGACGCAGGAACGGGTGGTGCCGTAGCTTCAGCGGCACCAGAATTGGTCAACGCTCCCGATGCCGAGGGACATACGCCTCTTCATCTCGCAGTCATTGCCGGCGATACGCAGTTGGTGGCCGTATTGTTGGCGAACGGCGCCGACGTCAATGCCAAAGATTTGGAAGGTCACAGCGTTCTTCATTGGGCTACCGGTAGGGATCTTGGCAGAGTTAATTATTAAATTCTCGTTGGGCAAATACAAATAATGGATGTCTTTTTTCTTCGATAGAAAAATAAATAGAAAAAGAAAAAAAAAAGGAAAAATTAAGAACACGGCTCTTACATATTACATTAAAGTAATGTAGAAATTTACAAATTTTTAATATCCGGATTATCGGATTGGTGTAAATAATAGAGGCGTTCTCATAAGAATGATTTATCTTTCTATTGAAATTTGTGTGTTAAATTTTGTATGTTAAAAGAAAAGAAAAAAAAAAAAAAAAAAAAAAAGGAAAGTATCGTGAGTCTCGAGTAGAGTCAGTGGGTAGAGTCGACCCACCGCGAGGTGACGTAATTCCGAGCACGTTTAGCGAGCAACACGCAAGACGTTGCTAAAGATCGTATTGCTAAGAATTGACCGTAGATGTTATCGGTAAATATCCAAGCTGCCTAAAGCGTGCTACCGTGCGATATAGATAGGTTGATATATTCCTAGGTATATATCCCTTTTTTATTGCTTTTTCGCTTGTTTACAGTTTGCGGAGAAGCGGAATGCGTACGTCTGATCTTAGCTGCTGGCGCTCGGCCTTCAACGCCGGATCTTCGCGGAGGCTCGCCTCTTCATTACGCCGCGCAATGTTGCGGCGCCGCAGCGACCGCCGAACTTGCCGTACCGAAGAAAGTTGGCTTAAAGGTTTTGCAAACTCTTATAGAATTCGGCGCTGACGTTAATGCGAAGGACGAAGACGGACGACAGGCGATCTTATGGGCGGCCAGTGCCGGTAGCGTCGAGGCAATTTTGGCCTTGGCAAGGTAATTTTAATATACTTTCTAACTATCTAACTATCTGACATATACGAATGATATCTATATCTATCCATCTACTATGTTATGGGAATATCTATATACGTATCTATTATACGAGATAGAATATCGGGAGGGAGGAAAAGTATTCCAAGATAATAAATAAACGATAGATAACTCTCTTTCGTTGGTACTGATAAATGATAAAGGGCCGGGGGAGCTGCGGCCGCAGGAGCATCGGACAAGGACGGTTTAACGGCTCTTCATTGCGCCGCGTCGAGAGGTCATGCGAGATGCGTCGAAGCGTTGATTAATTTATGCGGATCCCAGCCCGATCACGTAGATGACAACGGTTGTTCCGCTCTGCACTATGCCGCTACGCTCGGTCACGCCGACGCCACGTCCTTGATTCTTAAATTAGGGGCCGATCCAAATCGACAAGATCGAAAGGGTAGAACGTAAGTTGGGACGCCAACGTTGATCGGTTGCAACGATCATTAAAACGATCATTAAAACGAATCTATGGGATAAAAAAGTAATGAGTAAATAGGAATACGTTTATACGTTTTCAGGCCGGCCCTATGCGCAGCAGCCAAGGGTCAATTGGAAACGTTAAAAATTCTGGCACAGCATGGTGGCTCGTTGCACGCTAGAACGGTACGAGGCACGGGCGTTGCTCACGAGGCCGCGGCTTCTGGAAGAATCGAACTGCTCAGATGGTTGGCTAAAAAGCGTCCGAGTATGTTGGATATCGCTACGCAAGACGGTAAGACGCCTCTTCATGTGGCAGCACTTCATGGTCATTTGGATGGTTGCAAGGTGCTCTTGGATCACGGTGCGAGAATAAATGCGATTTTAAGAACTAACAAGGGTAATACGATGACCGCTTTGGACGCTGCCCTTTACAGAGGTCACAGAGATTGTGCTAAATTGATTCAAATGCACGGTGGCACCACTGCTCAACGATTAAGAGATCATAGGGCTACGTCCACTGGAAAAGGTCAGTACAATGGTCAGAATACGTCGAGTGCCGGGCATAATTTCAATCTGCTTCAATTCAATTGTTTCTCTCTTACGATTAGTTTATACCGCTAAACTTCGAGTTGAGCGTACAGAGAGTGGCACGGATACGGAAGGCAGCCCTCCAAGGTGGGATTATCATCGACATAAGGCTCCTCGTGTCTATTACGAGGAACGATGGATCGAAAAGAGAACGCGAAAGAGAGGAAATTCCAAGAAATTGTTACGACGAGACAGTCGAAGTTTCAGCGAAGAAGAAGTACGATTCTCCAAGAAGGCATCTCCGAGAAAAGAACGCCAACGACGAAGCAGAAGCGAGTCTGCGAGGTATGCACTATTTCTTCGAATAGAAATTTAATCGGATATCGTGTAATCTGGTTATATACGTGTAATCTTGGAAATTTTTACAAATTATAGTAACTAACATCTATAGAATCTGCTCGATGTATATCGATAGAATTTAATTATTATCGTGATCACTTACGCGGCGGTTTCTTTCCGATTGTTACCGATTCGCGTTACGCGAGCATATGACTTTTTTGTTCCTTTTTTTTTTTTTTCTTTTCTCTTCTTTTCAGATACGACGAAAATCGCATGGATACCGATGAAAAAAAGTTTACGAGAAAAGGAAGAAAAAGACGAGTTACAGGGAGATCCAAGGATAATTACAGCGAATCGTCTATAAATTACAGCGACGATAGCCTCCAAGAAGATTTAGGGAAGAACGGAACGGTAAGGACGTATTTTCGGCGTAAGTTCGAGAGGCGAAGATCAAAATCTCGTGCGGACAAGATTAAAAAGAGATCGAGATCCGAGGTTGAAACAAATCGAGCCAATCTGAGGCATTTGCAATCGATGATTAAGAGCGATCAAGACGAACACAGCGGTACCGACGACAGTTTGGAAGTAATCGTTGTCAGGACGTCCGTCGAGAAGAAAAAGTGCGAAAAAATTGTGTCCGGAGGAAAAGCAAAAATGTCGAAAGAGAATTCGAAAGATGGTAGAATAAGAGAGTCTCATAAACGCAACTTGAAAAGTCAAAAGTCGGAATCCAGTGAATTTACGATGCCGTCCGATAAGGTATACGATGAGGCATCCGAGGAGGATGCCTGCGTGGATCATCGGCCATACTCCGACAAGAAAGAAACAGATGAAGAAGGATATAAGGACGTTGCTGGTGTTGACGAAGTCGCGTCGAAGTCGTCCACGCCGGAGGATATGGGAATGTCCTTCGTTGAAAGTCGATATAATCACAGAGGAGACGTTACCGATAGTACGAGCCACGAAACCGTCGAACGAGTTCTCGTTACGGCTATGGTCCACAAAGATCAAGGTCCGGACACTCCAAAGTCTACGATCGAAATATCGAAGGAAGTCACTTTTGAAGATGGTTCGGAGAAGGAGATGATGGACAAAAATTGCAAAGTATTGGAAAGTAAGGTCGACGATGTCTATGCGAAATCCGAACAACTATCTAATTCGCTAGTAACGAAGGCTAAGGATTTAAAGAAGGGCCTCGAAAATATGCGCAATGGGATCAAGGATAAGAATGAGAATGATAGCGAAAGGAGTGGTGATGATAAGAGGATGGTAGGAGACGTCGAAGCAGTGGAAGGTAAGACCTTATATATATAATAATATTTACGATAAATTTCAGTTTTTAACCAATCGAAGAGACCAAGCAACCAAATTTTCCTTCATTCGGAATGAAAGCTATAGACTGAGTTATTTTTTATAAGATATGTGTGTATACACGCGCGCGCACACAGATAAGTACTGTATGTACAGTACTTATGTACAGTATTATTATCTGTGTTCCTAGGAGACTCGAAAAGCACGATCCATATTATATTTTTTCAAAATTAAAAATATTTTATTTTAACTTAGTTTTCTATAGAAAACATTCACTAGGTAGGTTGTGCGCACACCATGTAAATGAACCCGAAAGAACTTCATCGGATTCTCAGGAGGCGCAAGATCAACGGGGGAAGATTGAACATCAGGAAGATTCTTTTATTAATACGAAAGGCGATAGAAAAATTCTTGATATATCGCCGAGTCCCGCGAAAGACGTCGCAAGCTGCGTGGATGCGGTGAATGATGGTTTGACTTCAGAGATAGATTTGCAAGATTTGCATACATTGGAAGGATCATTTCGAGAGGAGTTGCCAACTTTGGCGTTAGAAGAACTTTCAAAAGTAGAAAGCGAGAAACGGGGATCGGAAGAAGTAACTGAGACGATGGAGAAACACGATATAAGCGGTACATTAGAAAAAGATGTTCCTTTAGAAATCTTGGAAAATATTGCTTCCGTAGAAACTTGCAAAGGGAATATTATCACCGATGGGTTTACATTAGCGAACAAAGAATCATTTAAAACCCGAGAGGAGTTATCGTCGACTTCTTTCGATGCTCCTTTCAGCAATGACTTCTTCTCCGAGGATAAGGAACAAATAGATTCCGCGCGTGGCAAATCTGTGGAATTATCTTCAGATTCTAGAGATTCCGTATTGATGCGAGAGAATGAGAATGACTTTTCGAGAACGAATACTCCAGTTCTCGCGAGGAGTAACGTTCTCGAAGTAAAATCCGACGGACATAAAGCACCAAGTGAGCCTAATAAAGTCAAGATTGTACAAATAGATGCAAGTACCAAGTCTTCTACGAGCGAGGAAAAAGCATTCTCGAGTAAAGGTAAATGGGCACATTTATAATAGTTATAGGTTATATTTAATTTATTCGATTAGCTCGTAAGAACATTCATCGAAGTAAAAAGATGAACATTGTACTTATATATATATATATATATATATATATATATATATATATATATATATATATATATATTACTATCTATCAGAGGACAAGAATGGCTCGCCGACGGGAACAACGAAACGTTCAAGGTGTTCAAGAGCTTCAGCGAGAAAACAAATGGAAGGGGCTGAGTGTCTAGTGAAAGGATCGAGTAAGATCAAAAATTTATTTGACAAGTCGGGGGAGCGTTCTCTCGATCGCAGTGCAATAGTTGCCGTTATCGAGAGCCCGGAATGGGATGAAGAGGATGAAGAGATCGATAAGGAGATTAGAAAGGTTATCGGAGAAGACGGAGAACGTGATACAGAGCCAGAAGAAAATAACGAAATGGGTGTTATTAGAGTTTTGCCGGGTAAAAGCGAGGAAGAGGCTTATAGGAGCCTGGACGTCGGTAAATCCAGGAATTCGGGTATCGTTACTTTACCTCAGGTAAATTGACGACGCTCGTTTACGTTACTTTACGCGTTGAAATAACGGAAAATGTAATAACTTTCTTTAATAATGTCCCTGTTACCAGGTACAGAGAAGACCATGCACGCACTCGGGAAAGATTCTTAAGATTACAGCAGAGGATCAACGTCTTCGACAGTGTACGAAACAGTGTCGTCGTGACAGTGGTGGTAGAGATAGTGGTATAGAACCAAGTCCAAGAATTTCTAGAATACCAAAGAGAAGGAACGTGGCTGACTATTCAAAGATGGAGAAACATCATGCGATCAATGTAGATACCATCACGAGAGATGTTCAGATTAGTCTTCGTCGTTATCACCTGGAAAGGAAGATCTTTTTTCAATTGATGGAACTCAAGAGATTGCAGATTAGGCATGGTAGAGCTAATGAGCAAGTTTTGGTTAAAAGACAGGTAAGAAGGTAGGAATTGGAAGAGGTAGAGAGAATTGATATTCGTCGACGCTTCATTTTATATACAATAGTTTATCCTTAAAAAAAAAAGAAAAGCGAAAGAGAGAGAGAGAGAGAGAGAGAGAGAGAGAGAGAATCTTAATACTATATTACTATATGTATACGTTATTCACACAACTTATGTACTTACATATGTATAGGTATTTCAATGGTCGCGACTCGCGTACGGTGGGTGTACATATTAAAATATAATATTTCATCGTTAATTGCGCACAACATTTCTATATGATAGATATGAGATATACACGAATGCTTTATTTTGTCGGTACTTTATCTGATCGGAATATCGAATAGTCATATGACAACATTTACGCTACATCATCATGCAGACCGATCGAATCTTTTGAAATAATTTCTAGGTCGAGTCATTTCATAAAGCTGGCATGACTGGTCCAACCCTTGGTGTTGCTAAATACGATCAACCATTGACCTTCAGGTTTTCAGCATTTCCAATCCTATTGTTAACAAAGTAAGGTTTAACATTTGAAATTGTACATTTGATTTTATCCTCCATACTCGACAGACACTTCGAAGCGTTCTTATACGAACAGTTGAGGAAATTACAAAGGAGACCAGCCACGCCAAATTTTTGTACAGATGCAAAATATTGCACCCAAAGAACTCATCGATGTCATCATGCCACAACTGCCTATACCTCAGTACCTGTTTACACTTATAGTAAGTTATGTGCGTTCGCTTATTAAAAGTACTTAGATACCTAAGTACCTATTATGCGACTTCCGATAATTCGTTAAATGCTTGACCTTTCCTATTTTGATAATAGACGATGATTGTAGTTGGCGGAGAGGCGCAAGAACGAGCGGATCACTTTCCAAAAATAGAGACTCGTGGAAAAGGACAAATGACGGTAATTGAAAATTTTTTCTTATCTTCCATTTTTATCATCTGCATAATTATTAAATAGAAATAGATCAAATTTGTTTGATCATAGGTGGAAGTAACTCACGGAGACGAGAAACAAGTCATCGCACTACCAGCTGAAAGGCTGGATTGTACCAAAAGATATTTCGTTACATTTACCGTTAGAGGAGAAAGTCAAGGAACAACGAAATCGTCTCATTCTATGAAACGAAGTGCTACGAGCGTTTAAAATGCCCGTTATATATAGTATATATACTTATATACGTACATATATATATATATATATAAAACACACACACACACACACACACACACACACACACACACACACACATATATATAATATAACATAGATACATGTGAGATATAAGCGATATCTCGCCTCGTTTATGTATTAACTTCGTACTCTGACGTTTCTTTTTGAAAGAGAAAGTGAGAAGTCGAATTTAATTTTATTTATTTAAAAATCATAATATTTATTCTATTTTAGCATCATATTACTTTCCAAATACTATTTTGCGAATTACCAGATTACATTTCAATACAGAGATCAACGCGGAATGAATGCTTGTGGTATAAATTTTTATATAACATACATATTATAGGTATTGGTGATAAATTTTTCTTTTTTATTCCATTAATTTTCTATCTTTGACAATTAATTTTCAAGCAAAATATATTATATATGTTATCTAAGGTAACCCAATATCTTAACTATAATTATATATTATTCGATTATCGGTTACTTGAATGGATAAATTTAATTATTTGCGTTTATATTGGTGACCGTGTAAATGTAACATATATTACGTACGATTAATTAACAAAAATATACTATACGATAAAGACTATATTATTACTGTAGGTTCTATTATGCATTATCGGTATAACCAACCGACGTTATCGATCACACATACATATATGTACATACATTAAAATTGGCCGTATAAAGTTATACAAAACGTTACAAATCTTCCATTCTTCCATTTGAATACTTTTATCAACCAATTATATCGTCCATTTCCTCAGTTAAAGTTCAAACAATTATTTCATTTTGTCCATTCAGAAATATCGATAGGCAAGGCCTATTTGTGTTCTCTTCGAATAATATAATACGATAATCGTAATATATATATATATATATATATAATAACTAAAGGTAGTTAATAATCCAAGGGACAAGTCGACGTTGCGTGTGGTTGAAGCGCGAATAGAACTATTGTTACGGAATATCGATCCCCTCGGGGATGACGTAGTATAGTAAACGGATGGACGTTGACTCGACCAGGTTATCTTGGTGAAACGTGTGCCATCGAATTTTCATAGTTAATAGAATAATTCGACGTTGTCAATAATGTCTATGCGTTTTCGATTGTGTCTTAAACGAATTGCAAGGGTATTTCTAATATCAAAAGAAAAAGTTTTCATTCAAGGTAGAAACGTCTTGTGAGTGTCTTTCGCATGGAGAAATGGCTTCAAGATAGTACGCTTTGGCTTTTTGGTAGTACGCTTCCATTGCTACCAAGAAGGTAAATATTTACAGCGCTGCGTCTATACTCACAGTATACAATCTGCGACAATCTATAAAAATCCATCCATTTTGTATCTTTTACATCTATATTCACGATACACATGTGCTTACACGTACTTAAATATGTTACGTATATGCACGCGGGCGTGCGTGCGTTACGCGTTTGTCGCGTGTACCGTGACGCTAATATTATACCTTCATCGATCATACGCATGCATACTATGTCTGTATATATATATATATATATATATATATATATATATATATATATATATACATATGTTGAAGGCATGGAAATATTAATTTGCGATTGATTTTAAGTATCGCAAGAAGCGGTACTTTTAAGAGTTTATTTTAAAACGTGGCGTAATTGGATTAATTATTTAAAATATATCTATAGGATATAAAAACATATTCATTTTAAATCGTTCTTTAGATATATTTTTTTTTATAAAATCTTTACCGTTCTCTATCGCTATTGTTAAAAGCAATATTGTTAATATCGTTTTTTATTTATTTTTTCTTTCATCGCTGTCCGTACAACGATGAAAGAAATACTTTTCCCGCTTTTCACGGTCATGGACTAAAGATAGGAGCGACTGTAGCGTAATATCGATCGTCAATAATCGTGCGTTCAACGACAAGACGTGAAACGACATTTCTACACATTAGTGTTACTCAGTATGTTTAGTGGAAAGGAGGGTGTTTCGATCGAAGAACTCAATGAACACTATTATCGGCCTATTGTACGTAAACAAATTCAGATTTTGCTCTTGTCAAACCAATCGTTAGTGTAACAGTTATACGACAGAATCACGTCGTTTCTTTCTCGCACACACACACACACACACATATTACGAGCGTATCACGGAGAAAGATATTAATAAGATAATAATAAGATATATTTGTTGCACACGAATAGATGTTGTAATATTAATGAAACTTCAAATAGGCACTTAAGACGTTATTTACATGTTACTTTATGCGTCTGTTAAATCGTCATTTGTTCGTTAAACAGTTAAAGATATTTTTGTGATCGATGGCGTGACATTATATAAACGTACATAACCTCTTGTGGGCAATGACGGCCCATCGTTCGATTTAATTTACACGTAACATTAGTATAATGTCATTGCAATTAGAAAATTACTAGGAGTTTTCAATCTTAGTTCAAAAGGTTCATTATAAAATTCTTTGATATGAAAATTGACACAATTACGTTAACAACACCGAGATGGTTAATGATCTAAGATTTGCGAATTATGGACAGTTTATACCATTATGGTAAGTTTTCGAATTTTATATTCGTCAATACATATCAAGTTCTTTTTTTTTTTTTTTTGTAAGCGTCCGAGTGAACACAAAAACACACACACATATACGCGCGCGCGCGTACACATACGCACAGAGTAGCAAAGGTTTTTATAAATCCATGCAACGATCTACTACTTGTATACCATCGCGTAAGATGCAGGATACATTATTCACGGTATTTCTCCTCAAAGTATTGTATGCACTTTTATAAAGAACCTCGCGCAAGCGTAACTTTGAAGAATATGGATCCTCTAGTCTAAGGTGAGATCTTGCCGATACCATCGACTTTCCTAAGTACGATTTCTTTTGGATTGTAAATATACGATTCATTTTATATATCCATTTGATATATCCATAACTATTATATCTTAATATCGTTCGTATGATCAAATCAACATCCTTGAAGAAAAGAGCGCATGCGTCGTGTACTGTCCAATGGATAAAGTCAAACGAGCTTGGGGGAGAGTTTGATCCTCGGTCATCGGCGAGAATGAAGACAGTGCAGTTTGCATTCTTCACCGGCGTAGCATGCTTTTTGCCCAACAGTTTACGTCCTTGCCATGCCTTGCCAAATATAAGAAGTGCGTATCACAAATCTCGCGCGATATATATATATATATATACATACATACATACATATACATACATATGCATATATACCTATATGTATGTAATTCGTTGAGTGTAATTCAAAAGATCTATTGTACTTAGCTTATTTTATTAAACACTTATCAACTGATTAGTTATACGTTAGGTCTAATAGTAAGGGAAATTGAAAAGATTTTAGATTCTTTTATATTCTATAACATCGCTATTTTTATATATCAGCGTTCCTGTATATTAGTACAGCTCTTATGTCCGTAATATTCTTAATAAAACGATTACATGTATTTTATTTCCCTTTTACATAAAGTAATATTACACGTGCGAATGGTGGTGGTAGATCGCTGTGTGGTAAGTAAGAAAATATTCAAAAGCTATGACCGAGGCGACACGGAAGTATGTAGCAAAGTTAGGAGACGTTAAGATGTAAATATAGGTTGTTTGATTACACTTAATAGTTCTCTTGATATTTTTCTTATTGTCAAATATAAAATAAGACATCGCGTTTGATTATACAGGTCTCGCGCACCAAGCAAGGCGATGGAACGTTACGAACGGTTGGGACGTCTTGGAGAGGGTAGTTACGGAGTCGTCTTCCAATGTAAAGATCGGCATACAGGAAAATTGGTGGCTGTTAAAAAATTTCAACAAACGGAGGACGATCCTCTTATACGAAAGATTGCGCTTCGGGAGATACGCTTGCTCAAGGTCAGTGTTTTGACCTTCATTATCGTTGTAAGAATGAAAATAGAATATCTATATGTACGGAGAAAATGATTTACATATTTGTACGATCAATAGGAAAACTTGTAAAAAGTTGTTGCGATTGATTGCTCTTGTATTCAAACTCTCAAATAGCCAGCAAAAAAAGTTTTTCATTTATATTGCTGATGAAAGAGTAGAAAATTGTGCATCTTATTCGTATCGAATAATTTAGAACATAGTACGTGAATGAATATGAAAATGTATAAACGCTGACTGCGACTTACGAGAAATGGTCAGCGGTCAATACGGCGGTGGTCAATATGTTGGCGTGTGTTCTGGGATATACGAAGAACCGCTCGCACGCGTCGGTCGTTGCTCTTTCGTTACGTGGACGTTTCAATTATTTGAGAAAATGTTTCTCGATACATGATTTTATTAAAATTCATTGTGATCATGGCCTTCCCTTTGTCGATATAAATTACGTATTTATATTTTCCATTATTATTATCTTGTAATTTCTTTCGTTTTGTTGTTCTTTTTTTTTTCTTTCTTTTCTTTTCTTTTTTTCTTTCTTGTTTTCTTGTTTTCTTTTATTTTTGTTTCTTTTTGTTTTTTTTTTGTTTTTTTTTTTTGTACAAAAGCGCACGCGCTTATAGAGACGCTTATTCATGGAAATTGAGGCAAATCTTAGTTAGATATCTATTCTTATTTCTGCAGAATTTGAAACATCCAAATCTGGTGAACCTTTTGGAAGTATTTAGACGAAAAAGGAAGCTCCATTTGGTATTTGAATACTGCGAGCATACACTTTTAAACGAGATGGAGAAATTCCCGTACGGTTGTCCCGATCTCATGATCAAACAGCTTACATGGCAAATTCTTCAAGGTATTGCCTATTGTCACCGACTTGGCTGTGTTCACAGAGATGTCAAACCAGAGAATATTTTAATTACGGCGGAGGGTGTTGTAAAGCTTTGTGATTTTGGATTTGCTCGAATGCTTAGTCCTGGAGAAAATTATACGGAATACGTGGCAACGAGATGGTACAGGGCACCAGAATTATTGGTAAATTCTTCTTAATGAAAATTCAAATCTCTAAGTATTCATAAAGATCTCTCGCAGGGCGAATTTTTTTTTTTAAATTAAATTATGCGAGTATATCATTAGAACTGGTTTTCTAAGCTATTCGTATTATCTCTTATATAGGTTGGGGATACCCAATATGGAACTCCCGTAGACGTATGGGCAATAGGGTGTGTATTTGCCGAATTAATACGAGGAGAAGCCCTATGGCCTGGCAAATCGGACGTGGACCAACTTTATTTGATAAGAAGAACTGTAGGCGACTTATTACCAAGGCACATTGCCATATTTCAGCAAAACGAATTCTTCGCTGGTATAACACTTCCATCGCCGCAAAAGCTTATACCATTTAAGGATATTTTTCCTGATAGACCCAGTACACTCTTACAGGTAATATTTACAATCAATGCCATTATATATTTTTATCGTATATCGCCTTCATTAACGTAAACAGTCCATATATTTTATTTTTCATAAAAAGATATGCTATAAAATATATTCTTTTCATGTTCATCGGTAGATTGATTTTTTGGAGAAGTGCTTGGACAAAGATCCAAATGTAAGGTGGACGTGCGAGCAGCTTCTACAGCATGGATACTTTGAAAATTTTCATTTTAAAATTCCTGACGTGGAATTAGAAGAATTCGAGAAACTCAAAAAATACAGAGATCGTTCGCGATTAAGTCAGATGAATAGTCATGCGATCGAAGACCATGGATACAGGACTGATAATTCGAAATACAATCAAATGCTACTACCGCAACTTCCTCAAATGAACGTTGTCACGCATGGTCAAAATGACAATCGGCCTAAAAGCACGAGTATGCAACATCAGCAAGGCTTCGATCATTTGCCTACGATAAGAGGCTGCAATTAGTATTGTAAAGTATATCTACTTGTGGTTCGTTAGTTATACATATATAATACATTATACATATGATGATAATGATGACGAGGACGATGATTATTATTATTATTATTATTATTATTATTATTATTATTATTATTATTATTATTTTATGACAATTTTCCTTAATATATTTAATTATTAAATATATTTGAAGATTACACTTTTCTCTCTCTCTCTCTCTCTCTCTCTCTCTCTCTCTCTCTCTCTCTCTCTCTCTCTCTCTCTCTCTCTCTCTCTCTCTCTCTCTCTCTCTCTCTCTCTCTCTCTCTCTCTCTCTCTCTCTCTCTCTCTCTCTCTCTCTCTCTCTCTCTCTCTCTCTCTCTCTCTCTCTCTCTCTCTCTCTCTCTCTCTCTCTCTCTCTCTCTCTCTCTCTCTCTCTCTCTAAAATAGATCCTATCTTGTTATAAATTATGTATGCACGAAAATCCGCGAACGTTTAAATGAGCAATTTAATACATTTTTTATGAGCCAATAAGCATAAAACTTGATATCGTTGGAAAATTAATGTTACACAACGTCTGTATTTTAGTTAGGATTATGTCCATATTATTCAATGAATAGTAACCAATGAATTTATAATATCAAAATGAAATATAGTAAACGATATTTACTACATCTTATTTTTATATAACGTTAAAGGAAATACGTATATATCAGTTTTATGATTGATATTGCGATGTGCTTCTAATTAGCATTAATAGAGATGGAAACACCAAGATAAGAAGCTGTGCACTAACCCTAACGAAAAGATTGTCTTTATCAGCTAATAGACTTTTGGGTTTACTTATCATATTATAAACAAAATAACAAACATTCTTTTGCGCTTCACATTATATTTAAAGTTTCTCCCTAAAATAATATGCATTGATATTTTTTCAATTTTTTGTATCAATATCTAATACCTTGCTTTGAGTTACTTAAAATTCCATTTCATCAGAAAAATTTCATTAGATTCATACGTACTTAAATCCATTTATAATATTATTCATGATCTTATTCAGAGGTAGAGAAAAATTCACTGTTAAAGATTTAACTGTTATTAGTTGTGTTACAATCGTTACATAGATACGAATGCATAAGGTAATAATAATTCTTAGTAAATAACCCGTCACGTTATTTAATTTTAGTGTATTCATTAAGCTGTTTCTTTTTACAGGACTATATACACATATCCTGACAATGATGTAAAAGATTTTAAGCAATTTAATGAAAATGGTTTTAAATAAATGTATTTCTTTTTACTATACATAATACAACGATACAATTATATTAAATTATTGTAAAAGAAGTAACCTAAAATAAAGAACTGAAAATTGTGTTATCAATTTATTCTTTTCGTGTGAAAATTCTATATGTGATATAATTTAATATATTCAAGAAAAATAAGCAAGTTAGTATTGTTCCAATATATTCATAATTAACTTTAAACATAAAATATATTATATGCACTGTAACAAAGAGCTGCAAAAGAATATTTGCAATCGTATGTGTACAAGTCGACAGATTAGTTGAATACGATGAATAAGGATAGGACAAAAAATTCAACATTATTAATGTAGAATAAAATTAAATGTATTTATGCATATAAATGTTCGTACATGTATATGATGAAAAACACGAAAACAAGTTTAAATAACTTTTATTTCTAATTTTTACTTCTGCTAATTTTACAATTATTTAAATAATGTATAATTAATATGAAATACAATGGATCAATATTTAAATGATAGTACATTCGCCTTAATATTATATTGTTGATATAACACGGGTGAAGCATAAAATAATTTAACTTAATATTAAACACATTTTAATAAATGATCTCAGAGATGTTGGCTACAAATAATATCGGTAAAAACGAATTATGGATTGACTTTGACGAAAAACGAAACAGTTCTCTATTGACTTCCTAAGAGTAAACATCGAAATTCTCTCTTTCCGTATGGTTAAAGTTAAATAAATCATTATTTTGATAATTACCGAATTTTTTAAACAATTTGAAATATACGAGGATTACAGTTAACTAGATTTTAAGCAATAGCAAATTCATTGAAACATTACGTAGCTCGGAACATAAATATTAAAAAAAATGTAATCGAAGATTTAAATAGAGTTAAATTTTCAATATTATATTACATACTTTTATGACGTGTCAGACTTGGAATATATATCTATCAGCATGCGTCGATCATACAATGTAAACAGGAAGGACCATTGGAAGGACGATGCGAGTTATCACGTCAGTCCTCATTCGTACTTCAAGGAGTAATCGTCGAAATGAAATCTTTCCGTAACAATACATTCAATAATCTTATAAATAGGACAATTATCTAATTATTTAAACAATATAAACTGTAAACGAAATGTGGTACAGCAATATTTAAACAACAGAACATTTCAATAAAGGATGTATAGGCCTTTTGAATCGTCTCTAATGGACCTGGAATAAAATAAAGTAATATTTGAGAAACAATACATTAGTTGAAAGATTAAAAAGGCGGAAATGCACGAGAATCTTACAATAATTTTAATGTAACATTTCTATACTTTCAAATTTTAGTTTCAGAATAATTACCCTTACATAATGTTAACAAAAAAGCACATTAATTTCACTTTGATAGTTCGCGAGATAGTTTTCTCTTGCTCTTCGACCTATGCACATCGCCATTCACTTTTCTAAACGCAAAAACTTATAAATTAATATTTTCGGTAATTTTATAATTATTTAAACGATTTTTATTGCACGCAGGATAGAATAGAGTAATATTTAAACAACAGTTCATTTATTTAAACATTAAAAAGTCTGAATCGCGTGCGCGATTTAAAATAATTTTAATATAAATTTCTATTACTTAAAATTTTAATTTCGGAGTAGTTGCCTCGTGTAATATAAACATAAACGCACTTTTTCTCGACTTTGACAGTTCGCGAGTTAGTTGTCTCTTGTCCTCCGACCTGTATACATCGCGATTCACTTTTCTAAACGCTAAAACTTATAAATTAATGTTTTCGGTAATTTTATAATTATTTAAACGATTTTTATTGCACGCAGGATAGAATAGAGTAATATTTAAACAACAGTTCATTTATTTAAACATTAAAAAGTCTGAATCGCGTGCGGGACTTAAAATAATTTTAATATAATTTTCTTTTACTTTAAATTTTTAATTTCGGAGTAGTTGCCTCGTGTAATATAAACATAAACGCACTTTTTCTCGACTTTGACAGTTCGCGAGTTAGTTGTCTCTTGTCCTCCGACCTGTATACATCGCGATTCACTTTTCTAAACGCTAAAACTTATAAATTAATGTTTTCGGTAATTTTATAATTATTTAAACGATTTTTATTGCACGCAGGATAGAATAGAGTAATATTTAAACAACAGTTCATTTATTTAAACATTAAAAAGTCTGAATCGCGTGCGGGACTTAAAATAATTTTAATATAATTTTCTTTTACTTTAAATTTTTAATTTCGGAGTAGTTGCCTCGTGTAATATAAACATAAACGCACTTTTTCTCGACTTTGACAGTTCGCGAGTTAGTTGTCTCTTGTCCTCCGACCTGTATACATCGCGATTCACTTTTCTAAACGCTAAAACTTATAAATTAATGTTTTCGGTAATTTTATAATTATTTAAACGATTTTTATTGCACGCGGGATAGAATAGAGTAATATTTAAACAATAGTACATTTATTTAAACATCAAAAAGTCTGAATCGCGCGCGGGACTTAAAATAATTTTAATATAGTTCTATTACTTTAAAATTTTAAAGTAGTTGCCTCACTTTTTCTCGACTTTGACAGTTCGCGAGTTAGTTGTCTCTTGTCCTCCGACCTGTACACATCGCGATTCACTTTTCTAAACGCTAAAACTTATAAATTAATGTTTTCGGTAATTTTATAATTATTCAAACGATTTTTATTGCACGCGGGATAGAATAGAGTAATATTTATACAATAGTACATTTATTTAAACATCAAAAAGTCTGAATCGCGCGCGGGACTTAAAATAATTTTAATATAAAGTTCTATTACTTTAAAATTTTAATTTCGGAGTAGTTGCCTCGTGTAATATAAACATAAACGTACTTTTTCTCGACTTTGACAGTTCGCGAGTTAGTTGTCTCTTGTCCTCCGACCTGTACACATCGCGATTCACTTTTCTAAACGCTAAAACTTATAAATTAATGTTTTCGGTAATTTTATAATTATTCAAACGATTTTTATTGCACGCGGGATAGAATAGAGTAATATTTATACAATAGTACATTTATTTAAACATCAAAAAGTCTGAATCGCGCGCGGGACTTAAAATAATTTTAATATTAAGTTCTATTACTTTAAAATTTTAATTTCGGAGTAGTTGCCTCGTGTAATATAAACATAAACGCACTTTTTCACGACTTTGACAGTTCGCGACTTAGTTTTCTCTTGCCCTCCGACCTGAGCACATCGAGATTCACTTTTCTAAATGCTAAAGCTTATAAATTAATATAGTCGGTAATTTTATAATTATTTAAACGATTTTTATTGCACGCGGGATAGAATAGAGTAATATTTAAACAATAGTACATTTATTTAAACATCAAAAAGTCTGAATCGCGCGCGGGACTTAAAATAATTTTAATATAAAGTTCTATTACTTTAAAATTTTAATTTCGGAGTAGTTGCCTCGTGTAATATAAACATAATCGCACTTTTTGACGACTTTGACAGTTCGCGACTTAGTTTTCTCTTGCCCTCCGACCTGAGCACATCGAGATTCACTTTTCTAAACGCTAAAGCTTATAAATTAATATAGTTGGTAATTTTATAATTATTTAAACGATTTTTATTGCACGCAGGATAGAATAGAGTAATATTTAAACAACAGTTCATTTATTTAAACATTAAAAAGTCTGAATCGCGTGCGGGACTTAAAATAATTTTAATATAATTTTCTTTTACTTTAAATTTTTAATTTCGTAGTAGTTGCCTCGTGTAATATAAACATAAACGCACTTTTTCTCGACTTTGACAGTTCGCGAGTTAGTTGTCTCTTGTCCTCCGA